CCTAAAAGTATGACTCTGGGCTTTTCTTTAAAAGGCAGCAAGTTCTATTCTGCTCCATCTTTCAGAACATCCTTCTTCCTAATGCTGATCACTGTCTCATCAGGAACGTCAGTGTATGATTAATGCCTCTCTGTCACATTGTTCCCTTGTCCTTCCTACATGCAGTTTACGGTCCAATAAATAAAATTGCAAGAAGGAGACCATACTTTCAACACGTGATCCATTTAGAGACCCAGAAGGATATTCTCACTCTCAGTTCACACAACTCCAATAAGAATATGCCAGAGTCAATAGTTTTAAATCAAGGTGCATGATAAATTCATAATTTAGCCTGAAAATCTGTTTGGAAACCAACCTGGATAATGAAAAGTTCATCATCTCTTTAGGCTTTTCTAATCAGTTGTGCACATTTCACAAGTCAAGACACAAAAATCCATTTGTGATTTCTAGGTTTAAACTAGATGGATGAGGGCAAGCATTCTTCCATTTCTTAACACAGCTTCACCAGTACAAGGTGATGAAATGAAAGCCCAGGCTCTGACGGACTCTTGTTAACCTACAAGAAGTGCCAAACTTAGGATTCAGGAAGCAACTAGATGGCTGATGCAACGATTCTCCCCACAAGCAGAGATGGCTTTGCAGGGTCAACAAGGGGGACTCCTCATGTTAGGATGCTCACCTTGTGCAGGGTTGCCAGAAAGCAGCATCCTTTACCCAGTCTGACAGACTGAAAGAGCTGGTAGCGGGTTTTTTTAGTAACTCAATATTTCATTTTCTGTTATTTCCTGGCAAAAGAACAGTACACATTGGTGCCATAACATTGTCCATCTCCCTATGCCATTCCCATAATACCGAACACCTCATTGTCTGTAACACATCCATCCTCATATCAACCCAGTAGCAACATGAGCAACCCAGTAGCAACCCAGTAATGGTGAAAGACACACACTTATCAGAAGCTCTTCTGTCAACACCAGGCCAATTCAAGTAATGCAGCCCAGAGTGCTTCAGCTGATTACTTTAGGATGCTCATCCAAGGTCCAAACCTCACACTGGAATCACCTAAAAGCAGGTGTCACAGCCTAGCTCTGAGCATGAGATTCAGGAACCTAGACATAAGCATCTCACATCATTTGAGATGTACATAATCTCCCTCACTGGAGACTCACTGAAAATCTAGGATACTCCCAGGTCTTACATTGTACCTGGAAGTCTTTTAGACCAAGGAAGTAGAAGGAAGAAGTTTTTTACTATAAGAGTACTGAGGCACACTGGCACACATTGCCCAAAGATGTGGTGGATGCCCCATTCTTGGAGACATTCAATGTCAGACCGGGACAGGGCTCTGAGCACCCTGATCTAGCTGTAGGTGCCCCTGTTCATTGCAGGGGAGTTGGAGTAGATGCCCTTTTGGGGTCCCTTCCAACTCGAATCCATGAAGTACTCTCTCGGTGTCTCTGGTTCCCAACACATTCTCAGATGATGATACCCAGACATGCATCAGCATCACCTCCTGTTCAGAAGCTGCCAAAAAGCAGCCTGTAGCAGGTTAAGGCTTGGATAGTTTTCACATTAAAAGATCAAAATTTCTCCATATTTTTATTTTTATTTTCTTTTAATTTTAATTGTATTTTTTCTTAATAGTCCAGAAAGTAAAAGATGTGCTCATCTCCCTGACAGTTCTATGCTCAGAGCACAGATCCGAGGCTTAGCTGCTGCTACATTTTTATTGCAGCTCTGGAAAAACACACACATTTGTTTCAGTCCTGAGCAGTACCATTTTGCTTTGATTACACATTTCTGGATAAACATGTGGAAATGAGTTCAACCTTAGACAGTTTAATTATCCCATATTAACGAGAGGTGTGAAAAGGACAGCTCAGAAAAACAACATCACAAGATTGTAATGAGATGAGCCTCTCAAAAGCAGCAAAGAAGGAGAATAATTTATTCCTTGCTACAGCTCCAAAAAAAGCTAATTTAGAGCAGTTCAGAATACAAGTGTAAATTGTTAAATAATGTAACACAAAAACTATTTTACCCAAATTAATCTCTTTAAAATTTTAAATTATTTATTTGACAGGAGAAATGTATAATGGAATAATAGTTTGTTTGCTATAGCTGTAATAATTTACACAATTGATTAAAAAAACCCAACACTCTAGCAATATAGTAAGATGTGTGTATCATTAGCACCATGGTAACATATAGACAATGCATTCTCTGCCTTTCTAATGCCATCTTATCAGTCTGTTCCCTCTTATCACACGGCTGGCCAAAAAAAAATCATACAAAAATAACAGTGGATTTCTGGGATTAAATCTCAGACACTGAATAAACTTCACTGTGATGTACCAAATGCTTTGTTTCTGAGCCAGGAACATTGAGATGCAAAAGCCACATCCTCATCTTGTTCAAGAGTGGTCAGTAGAGCAGCCACACGCATTACCTCTGCCCTATCTTTCACCTCCTGCATCCATTGCTGCCTCGGAAGCTGTTTAGCAGACAGTATTGGGTGGCTATAAGCACCCCTGCAGAGTCTGCAGCAACTGTCTCATACTCCTCACTACTGACAGATTGTGCTTGGTAAATGTCATGTAACTGGCTGAAGAGGAAACGAGGTTTAAGAAAAAGCAGGGAAATGGTATCCACTGAACTCAGAACACAAAGGCAGGAATGGACTGAACAGGCAACAGTAAAATAGATATTTCTATTAAATAATCTAATATTTCTATTGAAGATGTCAATGTGTCTCATTTTCCTAACACAGACTGCTGTTGGCAATGGCTTTGAGAGACTTGCAGATGAAATGAGTTATCAAAGAAAATTAAAATTAAAATTAAAAAAAGACAGAACAACAAAAACTCCAGAATCTCCTATCTCCTTTATCTAGATTCCAATGCACCATTTTGGAGAGATGAAAGACCCTGGAATTTGTTCAGTAGAGCACCATTATATATTTACCTGTCACATGGTATACTTGAGTGTATTAAAGTCTGAGCCATTCATGGTGTATGCAAATATGCACAATGCAGAATTTGGGGAGTTTCACATCATAGAATCATAGAATCACAGAATCATTAAGGTTGAAAAAGATCATCTAGTCCAATCATCAGCTTATTACTCATCACACCATGTCACATTAATATGGGACAACTAGCATGCCTGACCTCCATAAAACCTGCCATTGCCATGATATTTACTCAAAATAATGGCTCATACCATGTTGAGACGTCTCTCCTGAGTAAGAGAGACACCACTAGAGGAATAAAATCTCATTCATTCTGGACTAGAAAAAATGATGATGTTAAATACTATGTGATCAACATGCTTGCATAAAACTTAACTATAGAAAGCACTACAGTAACATATACTATTGAGAATTACTAAAAAGCAGTATGCTCTTCTCTTCATGATATTTTCACTTTGCATGGTCTTTCCGCAGACAGGATCACAGTAAAATCCAATAAAATAATTTACTTGCATAGGAAATAGCAAAAATGTCACCACTGAGATCTACATAAAAAAGACTGTTTAATCTTCTGGGTAAGAAAAAGACTCCAAGGTTTGCAAATAGTCAGCTTTGGGCTTATAGCTACAGTGTCTGATTTTGGGATGGTTATAGACAGCTGTGCCTCCTGCTTGGCTTAGCCACTTAGCCACTTTGGAAGCACCATGCCACATGGTGAACATGCCAGCAGGGCAGGGGGCCACATTTATCTCTCCAAAAGATCAGATGGGATTTCAAAACAGATTCAGCACTTAGTGTCTGTATCACGTTCGTTACTCTGATCACTCAATACAAACTGCTTATTCAGAAGAGTTTTGGAGATCTGGCTCTTCCATGTGTCTCTGTCAGAAAGTTAGATTGAATGCTGTGAATGTCTTCTCAGACTCTGTCCCCTATTTATTTTTTCAGTGAATTCCCAACTTGATTTTGGCAATGAGCTGATAGGCAAAACGGCCTGTGTCTGAGTTTTGTCTTTCACTCTCAAACACAATTTCTGAACACCTCTTTGTTCTGAACTTTTCATCAGAGATGAAAACCAGCCACTAATTTCTCACCTCCCTCTAAAACACAACTTTTCCAAGTTATTGTCATGGTGTATCATTCAAAACAGTGAAGTCAGGTGACACTTCGCTTCCTGAGATTTTTAACAGTAGAAGACATTGGTCTGGCAGAATTCTTGGGTGAAGAAGTGATAGAGCTGTGTGTGCACTGACAATGAAAAGTGGAATTGACAGCCCTGAGCTGATGGAGGATAATATTGTGGCTTTTTCAGAGGCATCTCCCTGACAGAAGGAAGACAAGCTCCATCTGATATGAACATACTCTTCATCTACTGAAGTTATTGCATGAGGAACAGTGATCCAGGCCTCACTGTGAGATTTCACATGGTCCCAAAAAACTGGCTTCTATAGAATTCCAATTCTTTTGTGGACAGAATAATAAATGTAAAAGAGATCTTCCAAGGAACGCCTTGCCTGTCCATTGTGAACTGAGTGCATTAGAGATCTCTTCCCCAGCTTTGGCATGACCTTATCTTCCTGTCCTCTGTGTGGATGGCAGCTAGCACCACAGTCCTGTGACTACACAGTTAATGCCCCATGCTGCACAGTGCAGGATTTAATTTCAGTTTCAAGGCTAAAGCTTTGGAAAGAATTAACTACAAAAAGGAAAAAAAAAATTGGTATCAGATTGGTTTTGCATAAACTGCTACACAACGCATCAATGTTGTATGCTCTTCAAAAGAAAAAAAACCACATTTTTAATGTTTTAATATGCCCTGTTGTTAGAGAAACAAGATCAAATTCACATGTCACATCAAAGATAATAATAATTATTATTATAATTCATAAAAATAATCTGACCGACCGGCAGCATTTGTTGGCTTTAGAAGGCCTCCCGTGAAAGAAACAAAGTTGAAGACATCTGAGAGCTCTTGGCAGGCTGGATGAATTCAAGTTTTAAAAACAAGTCTGGGGATACTTCCTGTATCCTAGGGCCCTTTGACATTGGCAGGCCTGGCAGCCAGGCTTGCATAGTAAGCGCATTGAGCAGGGTCACACTGTCCATTGGCTCCCGGAGGTCCCTGTGGGCCCATGAGACCAGGTACCCCAGCTTCACCTTGAGGGCCAGGTGGTCCTGGTATCCCATCTTTGGCATAGCCAGGCTCTCCTGGGAGGCCTAAAATAAAAACAAAATGCCCTTGGTGAGTGGCACTTCAGAGTGAAGTACTTAGTAGCACAGCATCACAGGAGATGGCTTTACTGCCTATACTGGGATGTAGGCATCACCTTCCACAGATTTGGATCTGGCTGACATATTTCTATGAGAATGTGGCAAACATGACTCCTCTGAATGCGAGAAATATAGGATATTTCCATCCTATATGTGTAATTGGATTACACAACTGTACTATGCTCTTAACACACTATGTTGTTGAAGTTGTGCAGCTGCACAGGCAATGACATCTAGTCCTCCCAGGGAGGCAGAGAGAATGGGAAAACTTGAGGCAAGAGTCATTTGTGGGAGATAACTCGTTGTGTGAAGTATAGTGGATTCATTGTTATTTTAAAGCGACGCAGGACCAGCATGCCTGATGCAGCCTATGGAGTAATGAATTTTTTTTCCATAATTTCCACTCCCACCAAAGCAGAGTGAAGGTAAAGCCGATCAATGGCTCCTAATTACAAATTAGAAACAAAATTTATTTGCTTCTTGTTTATCAGCAAAGATAAAGCTTGAGCTATATGCCTGAAACAGAGGTGTTAGATACAATCTTTTATAGCAGGCTGAAGCTGCCTGGATCTCTGCGTTCATCTTGGTCACAAGAAGATTCTGGCGAGTGCAGATAAGGCACCTCACTGTGTACCTAGCAAATAAAGCCTCACTTTGGACTTGTCCCAGAGGTCAGTTAACCTAACTCTTACTGACATGGGTCATTGTGTTTGCCAATCAAGCTGAAGAAACAAAGATGGCCACATATGATGCTAGTGTTTTATTTCTTCCCATGGGCCACTGGCTATGGACATAGCATAATGCCATTATTTATGTCAACTTGATTACTTACCTAACATAGAACAGACCTTTGTCTTTGTAAATGTTCTGAGTTTTATATATATATATACATATATATATATACACACACTTTTGTGGGTGTGTGTATAGCTTTCTGAAAAAAACATACCTGGAATTCCTGGAGGACCTATTTCACCTCTCTGGCCAATGCCAGCATCTCCTTTCTCACCCTTTGCTCCTCTTTCTCCTGTAGAGAGGGGAAAAAGACAACAATTAATTAATAAGCCTTATCTATGGAACAAACTACCACAGGTCTTTTATCCACACTTAAACCAACATATTTGCTAAAAAAAGTAGTTCCTAATTGTTGTCACTCCTCTGAGAACGGGAATAAGTGGGAATGAAGACCTAACCAACTTGTGACACTCTGCAGCTGCTGGTCACATCCACAAAATCTGCTTTAAAAGACTGAGGCAGCTTCTATCAAGAGTTTTGAGTACTACTTTGATGCTATTAAGAGAAGAGGTGAATACCAAGATCGTTAAGCAATTTCAGCTTATTGCTTATATCACTGCAACATCTCAATAAAATCTGCCCTAGGCGAGTAAGACTATGATGCAAATTCAGGTCCTAGGTATTCCCAGGTCGCTTGGATATCTGGCAAGCTATGGGATGGTTGTGTTGAGATGATCGAGGCTTTCAGAAATTACAATTCTTAGGGAGAAAAAAAGCAGATAAATAGCTTAATCAATTTAAAGTATTAATTTTTCCTTTAAAAATTAATAGAGCAAAATCCTTTTCAGTTTGCTTCATTTCCTAGTGTTTCACCAGAACTGCTTCTCACACCATTCCTCAGGATATTCTTTCTGGTACTCAATGGCTGCGCTAAAGAACATAGAATTGTAGAATAGCTTGGGTTGGAAGAGACCTCAAGGATCATCAAGCTCCAGTCCCCTGCCATGCTGGACATATCTCTTTATTGGATTTTCTAAACACACCAAGATTTGCTCACCCTTGGGTCCAATGGGTCCAGGTGGTCCTTCAGATCCAGTCTGCCCAGGTCGTCCAGGCTCTCCTGGAGGGCCAGTTCTTCCTGGTAGTCCTTCTTTCCCAGGGGGACCAGGAGGTCCTGGTCTGCCATGGTATGCTTTCACATGTGCAGGCGGTATCTGCGCCAAGAGATAGGCTAACTTTGCTGTGAACAGAGGGGAACGGAGTTTATTAGACAAGAATATCAGTGCTCCAAATGATGGAGAGCTGGAAACATTGATCCAGTAAAGTCCAAATAGGGAACTGATGTAATTTTCAGGACCATTCATTTGTTGTTGCCACATAACCCTTTCCCAAACACCATGATAGTACCATACGTTCTGTAAATGATTTCAGCTTAATTTCTCCATAGTTTCATACTGCTCTTGAATATCACGCACAATCCTAAACACTTATCTCTGTTCCTTCTTCAAGGAGGATCTGAACATCCTTTTATTTAACAATACAGCTGGTGGATTTCTGTAAAACTCAGATCATAGCTGATCTGAAAAAAAGAATGTTTCCACTGCTTCTGCTATGCAGTGGGATGCTATGTGGCAGCTCTTTAGGGAGAAAGTTTTCTTTTCTTGTTCTGGGCTGTTACACAAATGGACTGAAAGCCAATGTACTTATCAGCCAATGTACCCTGCCTGGGAAATCAGAAATCGTAACTAAGGCAGATCCCTGTGTCAACATATCATCTGAATTCCATGCAGTCACATTGCTCACAGCTCTCAAATTCAAAATCTTAGCAGCCTTGAGGGCTCTTTAGACACACTTAGCATCACAAAAACATCCAACAGAATGAAAGGAAAATGGTTTTCTATGTTCTCTTCAGTGATGGAAACTCTTGACTGCTATTATGCTGGGATGGAAATCAAATTCTGAGAACATGTAAATAAACTCCTTCAAACAAATCACCTAATTTCACCATGATCTCTAGAATGGAGGAAAATGTGCTTGGATATGTTTCAGCAACTTCAAGAGCTGTGTGTAGAGAAGCACAACAGCTATGCATTTCACTGTAGATATTCACTGTCAATATTGGCCTGGAATTCAAACGCTTTGAGAAAAACAGCAGCCTACATCCACTCTACATGCTCTCCTTTTACTGGTGGGCATCAAATGTCATTTTACACAAATGTGTCTTCCAGGAGACTTGTTGCAACAATGCCTTCCATAAGCAGAAGAGTTTCAGGTGTTAGCTGTAACACCACAGCTATGGAAAATTATCTTTCATGCTCTCAGATCTATCTGCTGGCTTCTCAGAGCTAATTACTTACCATCTAGCTGCTTAGCTAACTCCTCTTGGATGAGTCTTCTCAGAGTCTCTAGAGACGGAGGTTCCCCCTAGGGAGTAATAACTGTAGTAGTAACACAATATAATAATCACAGCCTGGGGATGTGAAAATGAAACTTTAGATGAAGTGACTAGAGGATTGCATTTCTTCACCCAGTGCACACACAAGGCTGAAGAGACTTGGAAGAAGAAGAATATAAAGGAATTCAAGTCATCCATAATTTCCATGCTGTTGGTAAGCCGTGGACTCAATAGTGTAAGGAGGGAGCCTGGTTGGAGGCTAAATCATGAAGTCATAGAATCATAGAACAGCTTAGATTGGAAGGGATCTTAAAGATCATTGAGCTCCAACACCTTGCCATGGGCAGAGTTGCCACAGGCTGCCCAGGGCTCCCACCCAATCTGGCCTTCATAAAATCTCTCTATACACTATTAGGATGAGTAATAGAAATTGGATCAGGAGACTTCTGCTCCACATGGCCACTGTGGAAAGCCTGCCTCTTTCTTCAGCACTGCAAGTTTCCTCCAGGATAGTTAAGGTAAATACCCAAAGTAGGTACAGGCACTGATACTGGATGTACGGCATGCTGACAGGCCTTATCTCAGCAGAACAACAGCCAATCTACACATTTACCCATTCTTCCAAGCACACACAAGGTTCAGCCTGGCTGCAAGCTGTTGAAAGGAGGCAGGGAGACAGGGCTGCCCGGTCCTGGTCCATCCTCCATGGATTAGTGCCCTTTGTCAGCTCTCTCAACTCCTTCCTGTGACAGTGCTCTTAAACAGATGTAGTACCCATTAAAACTTAAAGATACGTAATAACACTGTGTGTCCACTTGAAAAACTGATGAAAGCATTTTTGGTGGACTAGAAGGAGAATATTTTTGGCCGAGGCCTTCCAAGAACATAAAAAATGGTTTTAGGGAAATTAGACACATGTCTTCGCATATTTCGCAAACACTAAAAAACTATTTTAGCTCTGTTTCAAAAATAATCTTGAACCAACAAGATCAAACATTTTCCTTTGTACAGTGATATGTTTCACTTGAAAAATCCTTTTTTTTTTAAATGAAAATTGTTCTTTCCATCTGTTAGAAAATATTTCTCATCAGCTTGCTTTCTTCTGTAAATTTATACGAAAGTGGTTTTTGTCCCTCAGACTTAATGCTTCTAACATATAGTAATGCATACAGTCTCCTCTGTTTACAAAACCTTAATAAAGTCTTCAGAATCAGAAGTTGTTCTCCAGTAAGAAATTTAGATTTTTATTAAATAGCCAAGAGACATTTCAGTTTTAACCAGTAAATTGCTAATAAGGATAGAGTTGATCCATTTGCTGCCTTCTTCCCACAGCAATTCTGTGTAAGGAAAATATGTGTTTGATGGTGACAAAAGCAGCAATTTTGTCCTTACTACTAACCACTTGTAATGGCTCTCAGTGAATATCCCAATAAGCAAACATCATTGTGGAACATAATTTGAAGGCTTACATATTATCTTTTGACATTTTAAATCTATTAGTTGCAAGTCTCCATAATCATCACTGGATAGCATCAAATCTCTGTGTTGCTGAGATGCAGAAAAAAATATGTTTTGTCTAAAGTTTACCCAGCATTCACATTACTGGAGATTACTTTACTAGTTATTACCCCCCCTGAGGTAATCTCAAATTCAGTCTCAGGATGGACATATCAGCTTCACTAATGTCAGGTCAGTCGTCGTTCTCATTCTTGTACATACATTACCCTCAGGCACTTTCAATAGCCAGATTGTTTCCCATTAGAAAAAAGAAAAGAATATTAAATGAAAGTAGGATTTCATGAATTCTGATGAGCTGACTCCAAAATTTCCGGGAATAGAGCAGTGACCTTTCCATGGCTCAGCACTTTGTCTCTCATAGCAACCGGCAGCACAGGAAGACATAAGACCTCTGTATGAAACACTAAGCATTAACACCCATATAGCAAGAAGCTTTTTTGGACTCCAGGTATGTATGGGCATAGCTGCATGACCTGATTTAGGCTGTTATGGTTATAAGGAGTCAGAGTGGCCTCCTTGGCTGTCGGTCTGAATTGTTCAGTTCTTGAAGTTTAATCCAGTACCCCCAGAAAACATAGGTCTGCTTTTTATGTATCAAGAGATGAGAGAGAAAAATGCTATCTCCCTGTTGCAGCACATACTTGCTCTGGTTTCTCCCAGCCCTACCACAACCTTAGAAGCTTTTCTGATTTCCCACCATAGCACAAAGCCCTTATCTGGCAGCCTTACCCGTGGTCCTGGAAATCCTGGCTGTCCTGGGGGACCAGGAGGTCCAACTTGCCCACTGTCTCCTGGTGGTCCGTGGGGTCCCATCAGACCTGGATGGCCTTTATGACCAGGTATCCCAGGCTCACCTGGAGGGCCCTTTTCTCCTGGAGGACCTTTTTCACCTTTGATGCCAGGCTCTCCCTAAGCAAAAAAAAAAAACAAATAATCTGATCTTACCACCACAAAATAAAAGGCAAACTTCTGATTTCCACTGCACTGCAAAACACAAACAGCTGAGCTGGCAGTTCCTGAATACAACATCTGGTGAATTACAAATGATCCACAAATTATTACTGACACTGAATGATTAAAGAGAGGGCTGGGAGGAAAGGGGGAGGGTATAAGATCTCTACAGGCCATATCTCACTCTTAAATGATCTCTTCCCCAGCCCGTACTCAAAACAGCTCTCAATTTCAATGTAATGAGCCATAGAATCATAGAATGTCTTGGTTTGGAAGGGACCTCAAAGATCTAGTTCCAACTCCCCTGCCCCAGTCAGGGCTGCCAAGCACTAAACCATACACTAGACCAGGTTGCCTAGGGCCCCATCCAGCCTGGCTTTGAACACATGCAGGGATGTGGCATCCATAAAGAAACGATTAATATTACACTCCAACCTACCCTCTCTCCTTTGGATCCAGGTTCACCTGGTTTCCCTGGTGCACCCTGCATCAAAATAAGGGTTATCATGAAAGAATCATAATAAGTAATAAAGCACATGTATTCACAATGATTACTGAGACCTGGAGAAAATATATTTCCCTGTTGGTCCCATAGATCTCTGAGATCACTGTTTGTTTTCAAATATAAAGAAAATCAAGCAAAAAGAAATCCAAGCATTTTGATGTAACCCAGGTGGCATCCCTGTTTGTTTTTTTTTTTTTTCCTGAGACATCAGCACTGTTCTGAAACAACTGGGAATCCAACTTACCTCCTTTCCTGGAGGGCCTTTTTCTCCTGGATCACCCTGAGAGTATAGAGAGTGAATTTAGCACCATATTGCAGACTTGGAAGACAGAGCCTACCTTTTATCCATGAGTTTCGCTTTGTGTCTAGAGCACAAGTTTTCTGCCACACAGAAGTGAGTTTGGAATATTTAACATTAGTCTACTGCTATAGGTCATTCCTGGAAAGGCACATCCTGATTCGTAATTTTTTAGAAGTCTGTACACAGTGTAAATGTTTATTAATAGAAGGAAAACCTAGAAGGAAAGTGTGTTCCTGCTTTCAAAAATTGTATTCCTTTTTCTTACAGGTATTTCACAAAGCATCATAAGCTTCACTTCGGCTGGTTTAATCATGGAGTCATAGAATTATAGAATCATTACAGTTGGAAAAAACACTGAGACATTCTATTCCAGCCCATTTAGCTTGGGAAGTGCCAATGGTATAGTCATAATAGTCTAAAGATGTAAAGGAAGCATGTTTGTTAAGGAGTGGTGTTATCCTGTACAACAGTAGCTGGATATGAGATATTGAGCCATGGATAAAGAAACTCTGAGTCTGAAAACTTGCCCATATTTTAGAGCTACATAAAATAATCACAACTTAAATAAGCACTCCATCAGGATTTTTTTCTATACCCTGCATTTATGATGTGCCAATAAGGCAGAACAATCTTTGCATTTTAGCATTTCAGCCAGACAAAAAAAAAAAGTCACTGCAGTCCTGAAGCACACTGCTAAAATTCTATCCGTTTTCCTATACTATGAATGGAAGGATGCATTCACAATTCACAGATGTGATCATACCTCTAATGCATGTATGCATTGGAGTGTTTTTTCCATAACCTGAAAATACACAGAATCGCTTCCACTGCACTAGAACGCATCTGTGTCTGCATGAGCAGTGTAACTAATCACAGATGTGTGATCACATCAGCTCCAATTAGGCAGCATCAGACCCTCCTGAATGTTCCTTAGGGCCACTTCAGCTTTAAATGGCCACTGCATTTGCTGCCTTAAATTAATTTTCCAGAGAAATATGCCTTTCTCCTCATCACAAGACTCTCTTTTCAATCCTTAAATTAAAAAAAAAAAGAAGAAAAAAATATGATTCATCCTGTGAAAGACTCATTTCTGCTAGATTGACATGAAAACAATTAAAATCTAATTTTGTTGCACCAGAGTTAGAAATGAAAATGAAAACATTTACCTAACATTATTTCTTTTCCATACTTCAAGTAGAATGTAACATGTTTTTCTTGCCTTGGTAGGGCTAAAGATATTGAATTTCAAAGATGTGATACTTTCACATGAATAGGTTTTATTTTAGATCACTTTGGGAGCTATCTGAATATTTTAATTGTGATGTACCTCCGTTGAAGGTAACAGAAGAATTTTCCTGGGAACAGGGAATATCAAGAATAACTTTAATACTATCATCACTTAAAAATTCCCTATTTAGCCATTCTGGGATTCATGCAGAGACAAAGTCTGAGTAACCCCATGCCCATGTAAAGAGCAGTGATGAACCAGCCCAATTAATGCACATAATACCAGTGCTGACTGACAAGAACCACTTCCTCAAACGGGGTCACAGGTGTTTTCCCATAAGAGTAATGCCAGTCTCTGCAGTCCAGTTTTCTTCTGAAGTGACGCGTATGGCTTCTGGATCTGTGATATCTCCTGCCTATGTTTTCTACCTAATTGAAGATAACTGTCCTATCTTCACTGTCCAACACATAAAAGCAGGCAATTAGCAGCTCTAATCCATCCCCAACCATACTTACAGGTGGTCCTCGGGGTCCTATGAAGCCAGGGAGTCCTGGGCTGCCATTTTCTCCTTTATTTCCTTTAGGACCCTTTGGACAGAAAGGAGGGAGACACTAGCAGTCCTTTTTCCAACATCTCTTTTCCAGAGCATGCATTTGCAGATACATTGGAATGGGGAAATCTCTCACTGTAGCAGCAAGACTCCCAAAACCGACAAGAAAAGACAAAACAAAGAAAAGCAGATTGCAGATAGCAGGTCTGCATTATTAACAAGCTGTGTGGGGTCCCTGTGAAAGGTTGATAAGGAAGTGACAGTTGTGGAAGTGACAGGAGGTGTGTTCAGCAGCTACTTCTGCTGCAGTATGGGTTATAATGTGTTGGTGTGGCTGTGGAAATGCTGTGATGCACAACAGCAGGAAAGCAGTGCAGATGGTCATATCGTTCAAATCTGAGAATACATTTAGCAGACAACAGTTACTGAGCTGCTCCTTTGCTCTTCTTTTCAGCTTCAATTCAAGAAACGTCTGCCTTTTACTTATCTCTTGTGATATTCTGCCAAACTGTCCCTTCTTCTTACAGATCAGGGCAGCTTAAATGTCAATTCGGGAAACAGATCCATTTCACATATACTTCTGATTTTTTGTAAGGGATTTTTTTGTAACCTTTTCTTTCACAACTTTGTTTGACACCTAATTCATAACGCAACTTTTCTTCTTAGAATAAAACTTGCCTTTGTTTTAGGTTTGTCTTGTGCCAACAAGGAACCAAGCACATGGCTTTCAAGTAGGCAGTGACTCAAAGTATATGATGCAACCATGAGAAAAATCTGGAGATTACAGGGGGTTTGTTGTATTGCTGTACACCGGCTTAAGCGTGAGCACTGTTGAGCAGTATGGGCACTGTCAAATCAAAGGAGCAGGTTCCTGGCAAGTGTTGTGACTACAAGTCAGCAGTGATACAGCAACTCACGTGGTGGAAAAGAAACCCTCATTGTCACAATCATCTTTCTCACTTCTCATTTTCTTCAAACAGAAATATAATATGTTGGCTTGTCATACTACATTGCAAAGGAAATCATTGCATTTCCAGACAAGGCTGGAAATAAATGGACTAGTGTTCTGTACATGGAAGCACTTCTCATAATAACCTTTATGAAGGAGAGAGGATTCATTTTAATGACAGAGAAGGATTCTGATGAGAAGACTGTCTGTTCTGCTGACCAATACTGTCGTTGTTTCCCCTTTCTCATCCATCTGACTTTATCCTTTTTCAATCTCTTATGTTATTTTTGGAGTGTAAATCCTCTGAAGCAGAGAGTGCTTTAGTTCTGTGTTTGTGCAGGAAGGTGCCTGAAAAAACTGTGGGTCACTATCTGACTCTCTAAGTAGGTAATGGAATTACATGAGGATGACCAAAAACTAGCCCCTGTTTGGCACTCACAGAGCATTCCAGAACCCTAGCAACCTTGGAAAAAACATTGAGTAGCAACCCACACAGTCAAAAAGCAGTAAAAGGCAAAAGACATAGCGAGAGTAGGTAGGTATGATGAGAAGAAATGAAGATTGAATGGGCAACAGAGGCAATTCGTATGGTAAGAAGCAATGGCAATGGTTTAGGCAAGGTAATGAGTTGCAGCAAGGACAAAAAAAAAAAAGCAGTAGCAATGATTTTTGGCTGCAAAAAGGCTGGTAGACTGCATTACTTCTATCCCACCTGTAATCTGCCTGCTATCACCAACCCATGCATTAAAGGTGTTATTTACTTCTCTGTGAAATTTTAGGAGAAGACATCTTGGCAGCAAAGAATCATATGATCATAGAACGGTTTGGGTTAGAAGGGACCTTTAAGATCATCCAGTTACAACTTCTCTGCTGCAGGCAGGGACACCTCCCACTAGACCAGGTTGCTCACAGCCCCATCCAGCCTGACCTTCAATAGCTTCCAGGGAGGGGGCATCCACAACCTCACTGGGCAACCTGTTCCAGTGTCTCACAACCCTCACAGTAAAGAATGCCTTCCAATAATCTAAATCTAAGTTCTTTCAATTTAAAACCATTTCCCCTCATCCTGTCACTACCTACGCTTATAAAAAGTCCCTTCCCAGTTTTCCTGTAGGCCCCCTGCAGGTACTGGAAAGCTGCTATAAGATCTCCTCAGAGCCTTCTCTTCTCCAGGCAAGATCTCCAGCTCTGTCAGCCTGTCCCCCTAGGGGAGGTGCTCCAGCCCTCTGATGATCTTCACAGAAACATCCTCAGGGCAAATGTCAGCAACAATGCTGAGGTTACTTTCTGGTACTGCAAGGGCAGAGTATTACAAAGCTGAGTGGAATCCAACTGCAATATTTTTCAGATTCCTTGTGTTATGTCTTTGTTTCTTTTAGAATTTACCAGACCAACAAGATGTAATGTCTAGGTGGGCAAAGGGAAAGAAAAGCCCAGAACTGCAAAAGATGCTGCTGGACAGAAAGGTTCACTTGCATGGATGTGCTGAATCCTGAACAATTTTCAGCAGCATTACAGAGAAAAACTCTTCTTTCTGTGCTCCTTACAGCACTTCATTACCATTCTGTTCTTCCACACAGGATGGCCCCGGGGGATTCATTCTGCTCCATGATCTTGGTTTACTGCCCACTACCTGCTCTTCCCCCATGTGCCTGGGGAGAATTTCTCTATGCTGCTGTTCCTCCATGGCAGCCTGCCAACTCCCTGAAGCCCTCTCCTTTCTTGTGACAGCTCTCCACTGGCTGCAGAGTTTCTGCTTGACAAAATTAAATCAACTGGTAAAGATGAGGCATGCCAATCTTTTCTCCATGCCAGGTAATCAATCATTTCCTTTTTTTCTTTTTTTTTCTTTTTTTTTTTTCTTTTTTTTTTTCTTTTTTTTTTTTTTTTAAATGACCCAGCTAGCAGCTCAATTCCAGGAATGTAGCCAAAACCCCTCTGATATTATGGCTAGTCAATGATTTTCAGGTCACTGACCTCTACCTTCAGACATGGCAACTTGACAGACTTCAAGTAGCTACACATAAACCACCCCATCTATACTTCATCAGTCACCTCTCCCTGACATAACTGCTAGCTGGATGAATTTTCCTTTATGGTACTTACTGGGTTACCTGCTGGGCCAGGTTCTCCTGCAGATCCAGGCAATCCATTCTTGCCCTAAGGTGAAAAGAAAAAAGGTTAGTGAAACAAAATATACTATGATCAACAGAAGTATCCACCTGCTGCTATACCAGCAAGGATTTCTTTAACATTTTCCAACCTTCCCTCTTGGCAGATTACAGAGTGAGGATGTCCTATTTTTTATTAACCCCACAACTTCTGCATCTATGACTGCATGGCCGACCACATCTCTAGATAAAAAGTCAGAGATGAGGACCCAGACCCCCTAATGTGAACAGGAGCAAACTAGCACTCCTTCTCTGTCTCTTCACCCTTATTCTTTTCACATGAATCCTGTACAGATGGAGCTACCTACTATGGCAGCTCCATTAGTCAGTGTTTGACAAACTCCTGGCAGCTCCATGATCAACGTGAAAACAATCTGCACTGGCCAACAGATACCTCCAGATCACCCCAAACCTACTTATGTTCAAAGAATTCCTGTTTCCAATGGCTAAGATAGGTTCTGCAAACCACTTTTCAGATGTGCTCACCATTGCACTGGATTGATTGTATAGACCAGCCTTTTTACTGTCGATATTCAAAATCATACCTCATGTTCTTTAATAAAGAAACAAAGCAGATGAACAACAAAAGAAACTGATACTTTGCCCTTGGCCATACAAAAATCCACGTAAGCTCTCCTCTAAAGAAGAATATGTTTTGGAATGGTGATAACTTCCATTTTCTCAAAACATGTTTATGCATTTGTGGTGTTGTGAAGGGGCATGACCCATTAGTGAATGATGCTAGCAGTGCAGAAATAATGAGATAAATTACCAGGTAGAAAGAGGAGCTTTCCATATGTTCCTACAATGTAATATATCTCCCTACCCTCCCAGCTACAAGAGATCTGCCATTCTAGCTCCTGGAATTGCTGGCTGAATCAGCACTTTGCCCTGATTACGGAACATGTTGTAGAATGTTTCACTAGCAGAGCACTAGCAGAAGGCAAAGAAATCACCCTTATTATAACACATTAAAGATGTGCTCATGTTCAGCACTGAGATATGCATTCAAATTTGGAAAGGATTGAATTTTAAAAGAGAATTGAAAAGCCTATTAAATTAATACAAGTAATTTCTCAGCCATTCCAGATGATGCTTTCAGAAATGTTAACTAAACTGCCATTTCTCTACTGAAGATTTAATCAAGCTCTACAAGTGTTCAATTAAACAAATGCTTTTTCTCAAAATGATGTGGGGTTTTTTTGTTGTTGTTTTTTTTTTTTTTGTTTGTTTTGTTTTGTTTTGTTTTTTTTTAAATCAGGATAAAATATAGAAGGTATGATAAAAATGAATAGTATCAAAACAGGATCCCAGATATCCCAATATGGTTACCTGCAACTACTATCTGCCTTTGAAAACCACGTGCAGAGGCTATGCGATAAGGAGTGATATTCCATTGGCAAGTCTGGAATACAATCACTTCTGGCATTGCAATCTTGGTAGAAATCATCAAACTATCTTTCCCACACAAGTCAGAATCTAGCATTACTTTGTGCTCCATATTAGTCCCCATCAGTTTCCATCAATCTAGTTCTTTGTTTTTCCCAAATTCAGGTAGGATTTCACCAAACAACACTTGGATCTTGCATAGCATTCTTCTTCCAAACCACAGGTCTGGACTGCAGAACATCCCCACTAAATACAGTGTACCTCCAGAAACTGCTTATCAGGAGAAAAACTCACCGGCTGCCCTCTGAGCCCTCGAGGGCCCTGTGGTCCTATGGGGCCAGTATCACCCTAAAATGAAGAAAAGTAGGAAGTAAAAGTAGTGAGTAGGAAAGATCTGACAGGGAGACAAACATGCCATCATTTTAAACTTCTCCTATTAAATTAAATTTTTCGTGTATTAAGGAAAAACGAGAAAAGCTTCACTGGCCCCTTCCAGTTATGTATGACTAGCTTCTTGAATTTCAAACATTTATCACCCAGTGCAGTCCGATCACAAGCAGAACCCATTGGCATCATCTGATATTAAAGATGGACTCCTCAGGGACTGAAAATCCTTCGCTCTCCCTTAAGCAAGCCTTAAGTTGTTCCTACCTTCCCTGAGGGGTTCCCCTGGGCCTACCTTCCATTTTACTTTGTAGAGTACTATTGACAACACAACAGCTTTTTAGTGATATTAGGGGTGCAAGGGAGAAACCACTTCCCCAGGTCCCATGACACTGGCATATCAGCCACTCAGTACATTGCTGAGCAGCTGCTGCAGGATGCTGCTTCAGTTGTGCTCTCCAGAGACTTTGCTATGTGACTGCATTTGACGCTAATATGGATCTGTCTGTACCATCTCTCTTTGCTCTGAGCAGCAGCATCTTATTCTACAAGTATGTCATAGATTGTGCTTCAGCTATGCATGCAGTAAGGTTCCACCTTTTGCAGAGCAAGTGGAACGAACCCTGGCCCAGTGGGATCTTCAGAATGAAACACAGTTTGGAGAGCAGTGGCAGAAAACAGGTCTATGGCTGCACAGCACAGCCTGTGATTCAGACAGTATAGCTCTCCCTCCTTTTCCAAAGATATCCCTGATATTTATGTGTCAGAAGCTGAGTGGTGAGGAAAGCCCTCACATTTGTCGGTACTCTAATGAGCTTCATACAAATCATTTCCTATGCACTGCTGCAATAATTTACCCTTTATTTCAGTTTCTGCAGTTGTTTTTAGGGAGGGGTCACCGTGAATGTTTTTTTTTCATTTGTCAGCAAGAAGATGAATGTCTGCCAAAAATAGTACACTTACGTCCTTCCCTGGTGGCCCCTCACGCCCAGCAGGACCTGTCGCACCTGGTTCCCCCTGCAATTCAGCAAAAAAAAGAAGAGATATCAGCTCAAGGTCAATGGCAGACCAGTAACACCACTGCAAGTGGTGTGGGGTTTCAACTGAGCTCAGTGAGGAATTTCTAAAGACAATAAAAACCTTGTGTATCATATGCGACACACAGCTTTTAAAAAGAATTCAGAAGCATCTTCTGATAGTGATGCACAGGGCAGTACAGTGCTTTCCAGCAGGATATTTATTGCTGCTAGTGTAGTAACTAAAACCCACCAACATACACATAGTATAGGAACTATTGCAATGAAGAAAAGATGAGCAGCTCCAGCACTGGATTGCTCAGCTAAGTTACTCCAAGCAAAGTATTTTCCTTCCCCATGGAGAATCAGCATTAAATAAGCAGAGAGAAATTCAGTTTTGTATTCCACTGTCTACATTAAGGAACATTTTGTACTGCATTGCTCAGAAATGAGAACAACTTAACATGCAGGACTTGAGTTTTGAGCTTCGTTATGAATAGGCAAGTAAGCCAAATGGCTAAAGTCATATCTGCACTCATTTCTTTATGTTTTGCTCTGAACATATTCTGCATGTCTTAGGCATTTCTGCTGAATTCATTGAATTCACATTCAATAGCTGAAGTAAGGTTCCTCACCCTCTATATCAGTAATTTTACAAGTGGAATGTTGTGTGGAGGCCTCCCGTGAAAATTTCTCATGCACGTCTTTCTCAAAGGCAGTTTCAGATGACTCAGATCTACCAGTTGCCTCACCTTAACTAGGAGCAGAACTTCAATTCACACCACCTTTCTATAAAGGACCATCATGCAGGCAGTGCATGTTGCTTACCCGTGGACCTGGGGGACCTGTATCTCCCCTCTGTCCTTTGAAACCCTGAAAAAGAGAATTAAATAATTGCCCATTACACTAACACTCGAAGCAGTGAGAATGTTCTACCTTGAACATGAACTTAATAACCTTCCCAGAAGTCCTCCTCCTCAGGGTCACTCTCTAGCCACTCATTGCCCAGCCTACATTTGTGCTTGGGATTGCCCCAGCCCAGCTGCAGGACCTTGCCCTCGGCATTGCTGAACTTGAGATTCTCATGGGCACCTCTAAAATCTATCAAGGTGCCTCTGAATGGCAACCCATCTCTTCAGCAAGTGCAGGACACCACACAGCTTGGTGTCATCCACAAGCTTTCTGAAGATGTACTCAGTCTTACTGTCTATGTCACCAACAACAGATGTTCACATCATTAAGAGTTATCATCCTCCATCAAAAGCTTCCTAGCTACAGTACAGAAGAGTTATGGGACAGAGCCTACCGGTAAGCCTCTGGCACCCTCCTGGCCTGGGAGGCCTGGTTCTCCAGGTTTTCCCTATGGGAAACAAGGCAGAGACATTTCTACATCTGCACCATCATGAACATACACTTCGAACTTCAAAGATATTTACACCTTTGGATTGATGCACCTTTACAATGTTTTTATTTCAGAGGAATAATGCACACAACTACAGTAATACCTGGTCAGCATGTACAAAATCAGTATGTGCACACGGAAACCAGCTGTTTTGTTGGAAGCAGTTGGAAGTATGTTTGTTGCAGCTGTTGTCACAAGCATTTCTCCATTCCCCTAAATGACTGGGGACTTGGCTTTTTACAGAAGGACTAAGTCCCATTTGACAAGGCACAGAAAGAGGCTGGCAATGCCAGACACTGAAAGCACATTCTTCTTCTAAGAAACACAGTGGTAAGGAATAACATTCACTGCCCAATTTATTAACATTTCCTTTTGGCTGACAACTTCATGGCTCAGCTTTTTTTTTTTTTTTGCCTTCAATAAATGCAAGCATAGACCAAGTGGAGGACATCAAATATAAACCTCTCTAATCCTGGACAACAGAACCATTACAGAGTAACTCAGAAAAGGCTTTCTTTTAAGACACCTCCTCTAAACTTCTTATGCTCCATACCTTCTCCTACCTTAAAATGCAATCCTTAGATTAAATGTTACAAGAGAATCTTCTTTCTCTGTAATATTTGCAGTACTTGTAAAGATGGAATCACAACGTTTTGGAGTATTTATAGTAGTTGTAAAAGAACCCAGTTTCTTTTCAAGAATTCCAGAATGAATCTTACAAATTGCTCGAGACAATACAGCCCCTCTGGTGTTAGAAAAAGATATGCCAACAGATTTCCTGCCCCCATTGAGCCCATAGATAAGCAGCTACAAAAGTAATAACTGGATGTGGTCTGTGATTGCCTGTGTGAAGCGCCTTTAAATTACATTACCGGTTCTCCAAGAGATCCTGGCTTGCCATCTTTGCCATCATTCCCAGCAATGCCCTGTTAATGAAACGCATAACGAGGTATAACAAGGAGTTTATAGGAGAGATTGGTATACTTGTGTCAATATGAAAACTCAAAATAGCAACTCTGCTTCATTGTGACTGTATTTAATTTTGCCCAATGCTCCAGAAATTCTTTTACTGTATTCAGAATTCTTATTACTGTAGTTCAGACATAAACTTTTTCTGTCACATTTCCATAGGGAAACACTTTGTGCTTTTTCTCTATTCAGTATGGCAATTCTAAGGGGCTTCTTTCTTCTCAGCAAAGTGAGCATGTTAACAGTGTTAAAAGAGGTTTCTAAAGACAACTCTTATAAATCATTATAATACCATTATAATGGCATTCACCGAAGCTACTTTACACTGCAAATAACTCTAGCCCGACACCAATAAGGAAAAAAGAAAACAAAACTAAATTCTGTATTAATGCCTTTTCCAGAAGAAAAGTGTTTATGCCCCAGATGCACTTGAGTCAGTGCAAAGGAATCATTTCAGCTATGGATTGAGAGGAAGCTGGTATTCCAGACTATGAATTCTTATTCCCTTACACTGGTGTTATTACATTAGTTCTGTGCTCTGTATGAGAGTATTTATGCAAAAAATAAAAAGAATTTAAAAAAATAAAAAGAATTTAAAAAAATGAACAGGCAGATGAGGAACAAGCCTGTTTCAGATAGTTTAACGCTTAGATCTGAAGTGATAAATACAGCAGTCATCATGTCCTGGGCCAAGGACATCGCACCACCATTACAGGTATCCCTTTAAAGATCATGCACAGCTTTCAGAGCACTTCAGGAATCTGTTTGGTTCATGTCCACACATGCTTATAAACAGTTCTATGTATTGAAAGAGAAGGAGCTGAACTGCACTCACGGGAAGTCCAGGAACACCTGGTGGGCCTTGTGGACCTGGAAGGCCATCTTTACCCTGGAAAGAAAGTAGAAACACCAAGGTTCAGATGATTTTCTCAGATGCTTCTCATATAAAGATTGAATGCAATGTTTGACATGGCACCACTGTGAGAATCTGGTCTTGCAGCTCATATCATACTGTGTTCAGGTTTTCTTGACTTCATTTCTGCTTAAACTTGAAGGTTTTTACAAAAAAAAAACATACAGTATTATTTATAAGTTGGTACAATTAAAGAATCCACTAAAATCACCAGTATTTTCTTCCTCAGTTTAGTTATATTTAGCACTGAGTGCTTAGCTTCTGTGATGAAGTGTCCATCCAGAAAACAGAAAGTCTGTATTTTATATCTCTTGAATCAGCAGATATGAGAAGTGCCTTGTTGACTGCCCCAAGAGAGAAATTATCCTCTTATTCATAGGATCATACGATTGTTTGGAAGGGAACCCTTAAAGGACATCTATTCCAACTCCTCTGCAATGAATAGGGACACCTACAGCTAGATCCCCATCCAGCCTGACCTTGAATGTCTCCAGGGATAGGAGACAGGTTTCACGAAAGCATATGATGTCCTTCAAATTATTTCAGCCTTAACCATCCGTTTGAAAGGGAAGTTCAGCCAGCTTGTCCATGCAATCTGTGTCCTCTCTGATGGTAGTGCTGACTGATTTCACAGCAGCCACCAGAAAGACAGTTGTTGAGTCCCTTATGATTGAAACAGATGTGCAAAAGGTGTCTTGCTCACCCTGCTCCAGAAATTAATCACAGAATTACACAGTCCTAAATCATGATTTTTTTTCCTTTTCACACTTAGGTAAGCATCAATCAGATTCCAGTCAGATTATCCTTCTCTCCTACAGATTTCTGATGCATTACCTTAAAATAGAATCTGAATGACCTTGAAACGAAACAGCAGTAGGAAAATTCTTCATCCATTTCTTGAAGTTTTCTCCCATGCAAGTGTTTGCAGTGGTGCCAAGAAGTGGTCCAAAAGTGCGGGACCCGAGCAGTCTGTGCTGTGGCATTCTTCAAAATGTTGCTGGTTTTGTTTTGACAGTCCTCAGGCACAATTCAAGTGTTACCCTGGGTCATGCACCAGCCTAACAAATTAAGCCATTATGCCACAGAGGCTAAAAGATGTTAATAGCAAAGATGGACACATGAGACGTATAACTACCTCCTTAGACGGTAAGCAAGGATGCACTGAAGAAGTTCCATGTACTGGATATTTCATTCTGGCTAGTTTGGAGCAACAAGAACAGAGTAATCTGTTGTTATTTGTGTGGGTCCTACTTGCAGGTATGGAGTTGTTTCAGAATGGACAATGTGGGAAGCTTTCAAAAGACATTATTTCAGTTCCAGCTCAGCTTTATTCACAGAGAAAAAGCTAGGTTAAGCTAGTATTGAAACACATAGCCGAGAGCTTACCATGTCTCCTGGGTTTCCTGCTGGTCCTATTGGTCCTGGTGCCCCATCCGGTCCCTGAACAAAACAAAGCAGAAATAACATGAATAATTAACACATTTTGTACATTTGTCAGTGTTCCCTACCACCCTAGAACCACAGGTCCACGCAGACAGAGGGAAAAGGCACATCAGGAAAAAGAATCTACTGGAACACTGCAACTTGCTCTCCTTTGACAAGATCAGTTTTATTTTCCACATTTCAGTTGACTCCATTCACACTCTCTTCGTGACTCCCATGAGGATGTCATGGGACAGCTTTAAGAATTTTATTCTTACCAAAATAGACCTATGGCTGTGGCAGTAAATGTTCCCATATTATCAGTTTCTCCTAAAAATATGCTTCTTAAAATGAACTCGCAGAAGTGCAAACGACCCACAAAAAGGTCCTCATGTGTTGTCCTGGTGGCTAAGCATTCAGCGGCCTCCTGGCACCACTACTATCTGAAAGCAGGATTTTAACATGGTCTTTAATTTTAACATGGTCTTTTTTTTTCCAGTACCTCCTGTCCTTCAGGAGTTACAATGTAAACTCAGCTTTAAAGGAACTATGCTGATTCCCATAAAAGACAAATGCTGAAAACCCTTATCACAGCAGTCAGATTGCTCTGCAAGCAGCAGTGTAAGTAGTAATGACTATAGGCAAAGACAGAAGGTTTGGAAAGAAAAGCCCTTTGCTCAGGAAAAGTCCCTGCTCCTGGAGACTGCAAGTGGTGATATCACAAGCAGGAGAGCCAAGTTATTTCAGCCTTGCTTCTGCAATGACACTCCAGTATTATGACTTTATATATGCAAAGAAGCATAACTGTATTTGTGCAGAGTGCAGAACAAGAAATAAGAATTGTGACACAGCAGGACACGAGTAAAAGGTCTCTTAATCCAAAAGCAATCTGGAGGATACAAAAATTGGAGAAAAATTCACTATCATATTACTGCGTAAAGCTGAAAACCAAAATCACTGTTAGATCTGCCGGTTCCAGGCTGAGAGCTTATTCTGCCTATAAGTAAACACCTATACATGAACTCCTAAGTAGACTCTGTGGAAGAGTTTTCATGATCATTGCCTTGTATAAAGAGAGGGACTGAAGCTTAGCATTAATTTACAGAGTGAGATGAAGCAATCAGTGAAAAGTGGCTGATGTATTAAATAGCAATTATAATGAGCAGAGAAATCTATGACACTCAAGGACCATTAGGAACCCACTGGAAAAGGAAAATGCAGTGTGCAGGCAGGTGAGAATGGCCCTTTCTGTGGATACTGTTATTACTAAGGAAAATATAAGACCATCTGCTTTGCAACAGAGGAACTTACAGGTGGGCCAGGGTTTCCAGGAGCCCCTGCAAAGCCAGGCATTCCAGGGTGTCCCTGCGAAATAAAACGAGAGACTTCATACATTATTCATATTTCTACTTGTATGTAGGTTAATTGATCATTGGGTACTGTGAGGTAACATCAAAATACGACAATACACAGAGTGCTGGTTATAAGGAAATAATGGACTGCAGCTTTTTAAATCAAAGCGTTGGTTTTCAAAGTATGCACTTCAGTAATGAATACAGTTAGATTTAGGGTGTACTTTCTGTAATATGTATTTCACGGAATGTTAACAGGAGCTGAGAACAAATATTGTGGAAGAAGACCAGGCTGGAAATCAATGTCGTTTAAAATATCCTACAATTTACTTTGAAGACTGAATTTGCACCTTAAACTACTCACTCAGCCCTTGACAAAAACAAGCGCAAACACTTTCTACAATTTAGACTATTTTCTTTCCTGTGGCACATCCTATAAAAGTCCATCACTTCTAGGATTAATAGCAAAACTGGCCTTTTCAGTCCAGAGGTGTTTAGTCTCCTGGACCTCATGTAGATATTAGCTGAGGAAGTGAACAGAAGTTGGGTACTGCAGAGAACTGAATGTATTGAATAAAGAGGTGACGAAAAAATCATCTTAGAATCCAGCAACACAACACAGGGAAGATTTGAGTTGGAGATGGAAGGGAATCCTGAGGAGGACTTCTATGGTCCCACTCTTAATAAAGTAAAGGTTTAGCAGTGATGGACAAATTTCATCTTTCTTGTCTTTTTTTCAAGTAGTTGTATTTTTCAGCATTAGAGCAACTGTTGAAGAAGGAATCATAAACAAAGCACTATTGGAAAGCATAGTTAATTTTTACCTGTTCGCCTTTTTCTCCTGCATCCCCAGTTATTCCACGGTCTCCTTTAGCACCCTTGATAATGAGAAAAAAAAGTCACTGAAAGTCACTTAGATTCAGTATTTTATTAGCTTTTTGACTTATTTCATAAAGCACTTGGTCATCTGAGCATAAAATACAGAAATAAGAACTGAACCCTGCTTCTGCTCCTATTAAATTCTGCCTGTGATTTTCCCTATCAATGCAGGAGCTAGCAATATATGGGAAAATGGTCTTTGAACAGACTCAGGATGGCCTTTTACTTATATATATATAAATATAATTTCATTTTCTTGGCTTAGGGACACAAAGAGGACATAAACATCCTTAAAAATAAAAAGGCTGCTAGGCAATGTACTCAATGGGATTCTGGTAAGGAATCATTCGGCCCACTAAAGGCATCTACAGCATCAGGTACTAATCTTTTTTGCCTTCAGGGCCCACAATGTCAAAACCAGCATTTCTAAGGTGCAGTCAGAAAATTAATGCCCAGAATGTGCCCTCCAATTTCCCTGTGTCTCTGACAACAAAGCAGAAGCAACTAACTCAGAAGTAGATGTCTGTATTATCAGTGCTTGCAGTTGCTTACAGGCAAGATGAATTTCACACAGCAAAAAAACCTGAGATGCTGGGTATACAAATTATGACATGAATGACACAGAGGACACTAATGAATTGCAGGCCATTGAAATGATTCTCTGGTTCATTACATGAGAGCAAGGAGCCAAGTAGGGAAGGGAGAGTTATACACATTTGCATGGTGCTGGTAGAGACAACATACTGCACTTTCAAAACTGCAGAGCTCTCTAGATTTTTCACCATGAGGAGCCTCCTCAAATATCTGGAAAGGAGTCACAGTGACAGCCTTTGTCTTTGTCTCTTCTTTCACAATATATTCTTTCACAATATAATTCTTAACAATTGCAAACGCCATGAGTTTGCCAGTTCACTGAGTGCAAGCCAGATTATTTATCAATTATTTGATTTTATATTATGCACATGTACAGTCTAAGTCTTGTTGTTTGATAGATCATCATCATAGAATCTCAGAACGGCCTGGGTTGAAAAGGACCACAACTATCATCTGGTTTCAACCCTCTGCTATGTGCAGGGTTGCCAACCACCAGACAAGGCTGCCCAGAGCCACATTCAGCCTGGCCTTGAATGCCCCCAGGGGTGGGCACCTACAACCTCCTTGGACAGGTTTCAACTAAACAGGTTTAGAAGTTGTTGTGAAGAGCCTTTGCAGTGAGAGTTGGGGTTGCTCAGCCTGGAGAAGGCTACAGAGAGACTTTAGAGCAGCCTTCCAGCAGCTGAAGGGGGGCCTACAGTAAAGTTGGAGAGGGATTCCTTATCACTGAGTATACTGTATACTGATAAGAGAAAGAGTAGTGGCCTTAAACTAAAAGAGATTAGATTTAGATTAGCTATAAGGAAGAAATTATTCACTATGGGGATGGTGAGGCTCTAGAAGAGGTTGTCCAGAGAAGCTGTGGTTACCCCATCCCTTGAGGTATCCAAGGCCAGGCTGGATGGGGTCCTGGGCAACCTAACCCAGTGGAAGGTGTCCTTGCCCACAGTAAGGTGTTGGAACTAGATAATCTTGGGGTCCCTTCCAATGCAAACCATTCTATTCAGTCTTGCTACCCAGATCTCCACTTTTGCATAGCATTAAAGAAAGCAGCATATGGGAGTCCCAGACTACCTGGGTTTTCCACTGCTTGTTGTCTTTATGGATGCTAATTCCTCTGAAAATTTAATCTTGGGAGGTACTCTCATTTTGATCGGCCTTAATGTTTGCTTTTGAGACTCTACTGCTCACCTTCAGCACACTTTAATTTGCAAGATTTAAAATTAATTTATGAATCAGTATTAGTTTGTCCTACACTAATAAGTGCAAATACAAAGATGTTAAAATAGTAGAAGTTGTTTTAGACAATAGGTCAGGATGCAGGGAAGTATGCAGAAAACCTGTGGCCTTCATTTCTTCTCTCTCCCTCCATTGATTTGTTTTGATTTATTTCACATTAGGTAGTTTTAAAAGTTTTGACTGACCAGGCACTGGCACTGTGAACAGAATGCTGACAGAGCTATTTGTGGGAAATGCTCAGAATGCGATATTATTGGAATCCCTCAGACATTGTGCTTGATATTGGCCTACATCCCTAAATCATGATGCAGAAAGATGCATCTGAACCAAGTCGTTCTTTTTGCAGTGTATTTCACGGAGCATTCAGGATCTATGGATCTGCAAATATTGCACATGGTGCATTTGAAGGCCACACTTTAATTTAAAGGGATTCCAACATGTGGGATATAGAAAGGAGAGAATCAATGCAGGAAGAAGGTTACTTGCTGAAGCTTTAATTGCTTCCTCACCTGATTTGGACTGACAGTTGATTCTAATTTCCATGTCTCTCCTCAAAATATTAGTGAAATGAAATTCTTTATCAAGAATCAAATACTTTACATTTTGTTTTGTTTCATTTCTGTTTGTTTGTTTTTGTGAACAGAGGGATGATAGAAGACTGTATTTAAATGGAACAGTGTTCACATAGCTGTGCAGTTCTGTGCACCCGTGGTACTCCACTGAAATGCCAGCGCAGGGCCCACCAATAAGCCAGTTCTGCCCCTTAATATAGAGATGGGTCCTATCAAGAGCTTGTGTCAACAGTGCTCGAACTAATCACAGATAATTTCTGCTTAGAACACTAAAGATCAACAAACCTTTTGGCCATCCAGTCCAGGTGGGCCTGCAGGACCTCTGGGACCAGCATTTCCCTGCAATTCAGAAGAGGTAGAGGTAAATACTAGCTTCTTACATTTCAAGAAGGCAGAGCCTGTCATCCCCAGTGCTAGAGCCAAGGTGGTCAGGCCACTTTTATGCTCAGCACTGCAGACTGAACTGTTCTCCAGCACCTACTGTACTATACAGATCTTTTTGCATATGGCATTGAAAGGTTCATCAGCACATTATGTATGCCACTTGGTTAACCTACAATAATGCCTAACACTGTAGTTGGCTCTTTTACAAACAAGCTAACCCTCAGGAAATCTTTGTGGTTATACATATCAGCCTTGGCCACTGCTGGAAACACATAATCTCAAGGGGAAGCCACAACCAGAGTGCCAACAAGGATTAATTACAAAGGAATTTCCCATGTGAAAAACTCTGAAAACCATCATGCCAAAACCCATATGGTACAATGTGGTCAAGATCTTGATTAATTAGAATAACATTCTCTGTGCGACTTTTTACAGGAGTGGCTGGTTTCCTGGAGAAGTAAAGTTTTGATTTTCTTCCAAATTCTTCTTTGCAGCTCAAATGAGATGCATCAAAGCTCACTATAGACAGATGGGTCAAATTCACAGTTACACCATACAGCTTTTCACTCACTTATTTCCACTTAGTAGAACTGTAAAGATCTACTAGCATGACTGATGGAGGAAAACTGAAACAGAGAACATTAAATAAGATTTTCTAGGGCTATGAAATAATACAGGATCTCTGGATGGTAGAGAGCCATCACTTTTATTCTCACTCTTTCCTGACAAATAATTGAAAAGGTTAAGGGATTAATTTCAGCACATGTCATTTATTAAAACCCCTTAACCTCCATTCTTTATTTCAAGTCCTCTGCAAAATCTGTGTCTCTTAAACAATAGCTACTCCTAAAACTTCCCTTAGGCATCCTTGTAGACAGCAAAAAATCCACGTAATGATCATGTCTCAATCAGCAATGTACTCCACTCACTCCTCAGTCACTGTTCTCTACTTTCCTTTCACATACCACTGCTATTTCTCCTTCTGAACAATGAACATGACTGAAAAACAGCTTCTGGGTTATTTGGTTTCTCCTACAGAGTAGATGATGGAAAAGAACGGGTGGATAGGTACTGTTTTTTTCTATCCCTTCAGTGGCAGCAAGGGCTATTGAGAGGTCCAGGAAAACCCATCTCATAAATATGTGGCTGATAGGCTGGTGCAATCACATGAGTTTTGTTTTTTTTTGACCATGGAGTGGCTTACCAGGTCCCTGTCCTGATGGCTACAGATGGGTCTCACCAGTCTTAAAGGGGGAAACAGATCCTAGGCTAGGAGATGGCAGAGCTCATTGAGATGGTTTTAAACTAGATGTGAAATAGGGAATAAATAATGTGAAAGGGAATAAAATAAGGCTCACTAAAGATGATTCTAGGGGAATGACAGGATGACAGGATTGGGAGTGAGGCAAATGTCTCAGCTGAAGTGCATCAACACCAATGGACGCACCATGAACAACAAACAGGAGGAGCTCTCAGCCACTGCATGGCAGGCAAACTATGACTTAGTGGTCATTACTGAAACATGGTGGGATTGGTCCCACAACTGGAATGTTGCAACGGAGGGCTATAAGCTCTTCAGAATGAAAAGGCAAGAAAGGAGGTTTGGTGGCATGGCTTCCTATGTTAGAGACTGCTTCGATTTGTTGAGCTTGTAGCTCACTATGATAAGGTTAAGTCTATGTGGGTAGGGATTAGGAGGAAAGGTCAGTAGGGCTGACATCCTGGTGGAGGGTCTGTTATAGACTGCCTAACTAAGATGAAGAGATGGATGAGTTATTCTACGAGCAGCTGGCAGAAGCTGTGTGATCACCAGCCCTTGTTCTCATGGGGGACTTCAACTTCCCTGAAATATGCTGGAAATTTAATACAGAGCAGAAAAAGCAGTAGGAGGTTTCTAGAATGTGTGGGAGATAACTTCCTGATGCAAATGGTAAGAGAGCCTACCAGGGGAGGTGCCCTGCTAGACCTGCTGTTCAGAAACAGAGAACTGCTTGGACTTCTGGAGAGGAGACTTTGAACTATTCAGGACACTGGTACAGAGGGTCCCTTGGGAGTCTGTCCTGAAAGGTAAAGGGCTCCAGGAAAGCTGGTCACTGTATTCAACTCTGGTGAGGCCACACCTTGTGTACTGTGTTCAGTTTTTGGCTGCTCACTACAAGAAAGACATTAAGGCTCTGGAGCATGCCCAGTGAAGAGCAATGAAGTTTGCAAGGGGTCTGGAGCACAAGTCTTATGAGAGTGGCTGAGAGAACTGGGATTGTTTAGTCTGGAGAAAAGAAGGCTCAGAAGAGACCTTATGGCTCCCTGAAGCAGCTGAGATCCAGTCCATTGACTTCAAAGACAGCTATAAAAGATTCAGTTCATTGTAACTGAAAAAAATAAAAATCAAACATGCAAGAATATTGTTAGGGAAAAAAAAAAAATGGGTAAAGCATATCCAAGGGATATAGTTAAACCAAACCCAAGGGATGACCACTTCCCTAGCTCTCTTACCATTTTCCCATCCTGGCCGTCTCTACCTGGTGGTCCTCGGAGACCTTTGTCACCTTTGAAACCTGGGATGCCTGGCAGTCCTGGTGGGCCAGGCGGGCATTCAGTGCACACATCCTAGGAGAGAACATTAAGAATTAAGTTAGCAACAGACTGAAGGTATCTAGTAGAGCTTGCAGATGCTGAGTATGAATGCAGCAGTGGGGAGCTAGCACAACCTGTAGGCCATTGCACTTTGACCACATCAAGGAGTTGCTGGGTTATGTTGACGTACAGTGAAGTGAGGTTAGTGTAAAGGAGAGAGAGGGCCAGTTGCTGAGCATCCATAGGATCCCTTGGAGTGTTTTGGACAGCTCTTAACTGATCTTAACAATCAAGAAACTGAGGAAACAAGATCAAATAGCCACAAAGCAACATTATCAAGAAAAGCTTTGTTTGTAATCTACAAGACTACTTGAAGAATCCTCCATCTGTATCAGTCAAAAAGTTGCTGAGTTACTGCTAAGAGGGCATACTGATATGGAAAACTGCAGTGTTGCAGCACAGGACCAGAAAGGCTGAAAGACAACATAGCCCAAACAATGAGACACCAGGTCAGCTTGGTACAACTCCCAACTCAGCCAATGATCCATTGTGAAATTGCAGGGTAAAATGTCTTTCTGAACCTCAGTTCCTCCAATTATATTTTCCTACTGAAAATGTAAAAGCTTGAGAGATATACAGAACAACCGAGCCTTAGTTGCATCTGGAGTCTGAAGGTGACGCTGTATGTAAAGCTGGGCCAGGTACAGAGTGAAAAACATAAAGAATATGCTGTGTGTGTGCAACTGTAACATAATAGAAGTTTAAAAAAAAAAAAAAAAAGAACATCAAAATGATATTCCATACCCAAGAAACAGAGAACAGAGAAACAGTCTGTTGCTACTCTCCTGATCAGAAATACCAAACAATGCAATATAGTGAATTCTCTGGAAAAAAATACAGTGTTGCCTGAGAAAAACAGCTCTTCAATGAAGTAATTTCAAAGCAGCAATCTTAAAAGGGTCATTTTGTTAATGTGGTTAGTAAGAAAAGTAATTTTTTAGTTTCTTCTAATCAATAAGGAAGGATTTCATTCCATGTCTCAAACCTGCTTAAAAATCTCCCAACTCAGCCCGCGTAAATCTTTAAAGATTTTGCAATCAGCACCTCTCAAACAGAGACTCGTTTTCCAGACAACTGTCTACATGGAGAGTAAAAGCAGACAGACAGATCACCATGTTTGAAACATGGGTGCACGTGGGCTTAATTACCTGCATCCTTTTAGACGCATTATGCAAACTGAATTTGCACCCACAGTGCGAAGTGTGGTCACTTGCAGGTGTGTGTGAAAGATCAGCCATTTGATTAAAGTGGTTTCCATTTTCTGCTTTAGGTAATACAACTTCACAATAGTTATTCCTGCTTGGAAATGAAAGCCTCCCAAAGAGATAAAAAAAAGTCTCAGAGTTTTTACAACTTAAACCACGTTGCAAAGATCTTTGTAGACCATATCACTAGTGTGGGCTGCTGGAGAGCACTGGGTTTTGATCTCCAGCACATCCTTGTGTGTCCCAACAGCTGTGTCAGTAGGAGACCTGCAATTTTCAAGTTCTGCTGGAGTAATTTAAGGCATCTTTTGCACTTCTAGCTCTGATGCTTTCCCATCGCATGGTGTTAGTTAGGTTTCAATCAAACATTCAGATAAACTCCCACCATCCTCAGAAGCTGATTACCTTCACTAAGAGATTTATGTCCTCTGGAGAGAGCAGGGGTGAGGTACCCTGTGGAGTGAAAAATTCAGGCAACGTTAAAAGGTGTAAATGTAAGAAATCTTCCTGAACATATCTGTGGCCTGGTATAAGTTTCTCTATGGGCTAAAAACATTCCAGTTCTCTCACATTACCAATGAACATCATATCTGAGACCTCTGTGTATTCTGTGCCCTGGTATAAGTTTCTTTTTGGGATAAAAAAAAACAAAAAACAGTTCCTTCACATTATCAGTGAACATCATATCTGAGACCTCTGTGTATTTTTGATCATGTACTTGCTCATAGCATGCTATAGTATATATATATAATTTGCCTTTACAATTTTGGCTTTTTTTTTGTGTGCAGAACATTCAGTTATTTTCATACTGTTCCAAACCATCATAGGTATTTTTATTATATTTTTTTTTAATAGTTCCTAGGTATTGTTTGTTTGCTTGTTTTTGTTTTTGTTTTTTCCTGGGAAGAGCAGCAGAAAAAAAACTCTGAACCGTCCTCGAGACAACTTGTACTGGAAGAAAATAAATGAGATAGAAGGGAACAGAACAGCAGGACAAAAACTTCTGGGGGATGCAGCATGGAAGAAAAGTTACATACTGGTTTTCCAGGAGGTCCTCTTTCCCCTGGATTTCCAGGTAGACCCTATAAAATAGAAAAGGAAAATTCTATAAGATTATGATATGCTAACCCTCTGGTTGCTCCCACATTCTGCTGATTGCTTTGGACTGACAAATGTTTCTGCTGAGCACTACTGCTCTCTGCATGTGGCACACAGTCAACTCCTCCATGTACAAATTTAGAAGTTGTACTTCTCTGTTTTTTTGCTGTTTCTTAATCACTTCTTCTCATTCCTTCCTAAATCTCTCTTATCTACATTATGACCCAGTGAAATTCGTCTGAGTCACACAACTGAAATTGCTCTGGCATGTCTCCTGGTCCCAGGAAACAGTACGACTGCGGAAGTGTGAAGGATGAAGCTTTAAATTCCTGAGGACACCTGTAAAATGAAAACTCATGGCCTCTCTTTGCATTAGTGTTGCAAACAAATCCTTGCACCAGAAATAGCAAGTAAACTTTCTTTTTTTCTTTTTCGATGTGAAAAAAAGTATTTGTGTCAGCTTTCATGAGATGATAATAAGGAAATGAGAAGCATTCTTGGAATTTAAGTTGCAGGAAACTATGGCTGGGAAAAGGGAACCTTAATGGGCATCTCTTGCCTGTTATTAGCAAGTTATTAATCTGTTAACAAACAATTTGTTTTGAATCTTTGCATTAAGTAATGCTTACATGGGGAACTGAGTTTCTTAAGCAGAACAGCTGGTCATCACTCAGACAGTGAGGGAAATCTTCAGTGGCATTTTCAGTTGGACTGAGATTTCCAAAACCACTCTCTAACTTCTCTATCAAGCTAGCCTGTTGCCCTATGTAATTAGTCCTGCATATGTGTGATCCACTGCTATTGATCGTCTTAAATTGCATACAAAAGACTGACCTACACAACCACATTTGCACATGCAGAACAGTTTCTACTTATTATTTAGAAGTATCTTGTGCTCAGTTCGGCTGCTTCTGCAAGGACCCACCTGAGGAGGTCTCTATGATTCCCTGGTGCCAGATTCCCCACCCAGGACATTAATCAACAAAAGTAATGTCTGTAAATTGGCCCAGGCTTAGCACACCCAAGGAACACCTAGGGCTACACAAATTAGAACATGGAAAACAGCTTTAATTAACCAAAGGCTTTGTTAGGAAGGGGCTTAGGAATTATGTCAATCACGTGAATTTGAGTTGGTCCATCATTTCCAGTAAGTCCATTGTACTATTTATGAAGCCAACTAGACAGGGAGTTCCTCGGCTGACTGGGGAACTCATGATCTATGTGCACAGGGTGTGCACAGAGGCACAGTTGTGATAACCTACTGTACCACAGTTACAGCTATAGGACAAAATAGGATTTCATCCTTGCATCTTGCTTATAATTTAAATTCTATAGTCCACGTCAGAGCAAAGAGAAAATAAAAAATATTTGGTAGCTCTTTTTCTATGTCCATATTAAACACTTCTGAGTGAATGACAACCTAACAGTTACCTTGGCTTCTTAAGAGATGAATATTAAATATGAACTAAGTGACGTAAGCGGAACTGAACTAGTACTGAATTCCATGGATGAAAAGTTTGTTTTTAGAGGAAGCTAAACCTTCCACAGGTGAGACTCAAGAGAAGGCAGTGTGAAGGAGATATTCACATATTGGCTATGTTAAGGAAGATTCACACAGGATTTGTTTTAAGGAGTTCAATAGAAAGCAAAGACTTGAGCCACGAGAATCAACCTTGATCAGAAAGTAACTAGAAGTGAAATTCTCTTCAACATGGCTATGATATCTACCTTGCATCAGATTGCTTTGAGACAAAGAGATAGACCTATCTTCTTGAAAGCTGTATGATGTGGAGCCAGTGACGTCTTTTAATAGGATGTAAATAAATCAGGATGAAAAAGCCATGGTTGGTGAAATTGAAAACAGCAACCCCAGGAAAAGCCAAAAAGTTGAAATACAAGACAGCAATAGAGTCTCATTTGATGAATGACTGTATGAGTTGAAATACAGGACAATGGCACTTCAGCATGTTGCATTATTGCAGAATAGGCAATGGGCTGAGTCCAAAACAAAGAAAACACTGCTGAGCTATGGAGACCTGGAGTTAGAAAACATAACCAGCTACAAGATATGAACTACTCTAAGTTGACTGAAAATGACAGAAGGTACAGAGTGTAACTGCAATTGATATTAGAATATCAATTAATAGTGTCACTGGATATCAGGGAGGACAAAGCAGGCAGCAACAGGGAGGTGTGATGCACAGGATCCAGAGTACTTGATTGACCTGCAAAAGGTGACACACACAAACGGTCCCAAAGTGAGAATGGATGGAAGTTGTGTAAATGACATGTTGAAAAATGAAAGAAAGAAAATTTATAAGGAAGCCAGCCACATGCAACAGCAAAATCACAAGCACATGGTTGGGAAGTAGTACTATAGAAAACTAGACAAAAAATCACTAGCATAGAAGTGTTCTGATTTCCAGGAATAACAAGAAAAAAAAAGGAAACAATGACTATCCTTTGATTCGGGGTGCATGAATTCTAAAGCAAAGATAAAAACTCCTTGGAAATGGCCTTATAACTGCCTGGAAAAACCAACCCCAGGAAAGAAAAGTCTGTTCTTCAGATCCAGTGGCAGTAATGTATGCACACATTAAGTTTTTGCAATTACAAAAATAAATAGATGGAAAGATTAACTTCCCAGTAAAATTGGAATGTAGTTATCAGTAATAATTAGCACATTTAAGAATGATTAATGTTTATGTTAATTAAAATTATCATATTCAAAATACAGAAAGACCAAATCAAATGGGTGCCCTCAGTGCTATCTGTAGGACAAGAGACTTTGTCATTCAGATTGTATTTTAATTTAAGGTATGCTGAAAGGAAACTTTTTCTCTCCCAGGAGACAAGCAGAGCAGAATGGATGCTTCCAGAGAAAAGCAAAGAATCACTTTCTGCAGCTTTCAGAGCATGACACAGATTTGGCCAATTTCTCTGGATAAATTACTTAAGGCTATGCTTTTTTTAATAGTTGATACAGGAATACTGCCAGCTTTAAATGTGCTTGGATTTTTCTTTTTTCCAAAAGTAAGTAAAATTAATATTTGAAGTAATTTTATTGAGGAAATGAAACTAGGCATGTAACAGTCCTATTATGGAGAAAAGTAGTCCAGATAGAGGGAAATACAAATTACTGAATAATATTATGGAATGGCTTGAGTTAGAGGGGTCCGTAAAGCCCACCTACTTCCAACTCCCCACCATGGACAGGGTTGCCACCCACCAGATCAGTGTGCCCAGGATTTGATCCAACCTCCAGGGATGGGACAATCACAGTTTTTCTGGGCAACTTGTTCCAGTGCCTCACCATCCTCTGAGTAAAGAATTATCTCCTATAATCTAATCTAAATCTCCCTTCTTTTAGTTTAAAATCATTCTGCTTTACTGAACTTTATTAGGCTCACATGCACACAATTTTCAAGTCTGTCCAGGTCCCTCTGGATGGTGTCCCTTCCTTCTGCCGTATCAACTGCACACTCAGCTTAGTATCATCAGCAAAATTCCTGAGGGTGCACTCAATCCTACTGTCTAGATTGTTGATAAAGATATTGAAGAGCATCAGTCCCAGCTCAGACTCCTGAGGGACACAGAGCCATTGAAAGCAACTCTCTGGCGCTGGTTATGCAGCCAATTCCTTATCCATGAAATAGAAGACCCAACAAATCCACATTCTGCAATTTACAGATTAGGATTTTTGTTGTGTGGGACTGTGTCAAAGACCTTACAGAAGTCCATCGGTTGGTCTTCCATTGTTGGCTGATACTGTTGCTCCATTCTAGCAGGCCACCAGAGAGGCCAGGCATAATTTGCTCCTGGTGAAGCCATGCTGGCCATCTCAGATTACCTCTTTACCTTGCATGTGTCTTAAAATAATTTAAAGGGAGATCTGTTCCACGATCTTTCCTGGCAAAGAGGGGAGGCTTACCAGCCTGTAGATGCCCAGGTACTCCTTTTTACCTTTCTTAAAAATGGGAGTGATGTTTCCTTTTTTTCAGACAATGGGAATTGGCCCAACAGACGTGACTTTTCAAATATGATGGAGAGTGACTTGGCAGCCACCTCAGCCAGTTCCTTCAGGACACTTAGATGCAAGATATCTGGCCTTTTGACTTGCATATATTTAATCTCATCAAGTGTTCTCAAACTCTCTCTCTGCTTACAGTGGGAGGGATTTTGCTCCCCCAACCTCTAACTGGACGTGCAGGGACATGAAAGATTTGGAAAGCCTGGTTGCCAGTAAAGACCAAGGCAAAGAACATGTTGATTATCTCAGCCTTCTCTTTGTCCACCACAGCCACTTCTCCCTTCTTACTTATCAGAGGGGATACACTCTTTTTGGGGGTATGCTCTTCTTTTCTAACCAATGAACCCACAGAATCTCTTGTTATTCTTTGCATCCTTTGCCAAGTTCAGTTCCATCTGTTCTTTGGCTTTTCTGTTCCCATCCCCAAACATAAGAAGGAAAAAAAAAAAAAGAAACAAACAAAAAGAAGAATATAAAAAAGTTTGCTTTAAGTTCAGGCTTCAAGAATCGGGGCTTTAATTAATTTAAAAAACAAACAAACAAAAAACAAAAACCACAGATTTAGAGAGAATAACACAGGTAGACCAGAGATGATAAAGAGGAAAAAAAAAAAGCAGTAGATTCAGCTATTCACTGCTTTGTCCAGAAGAAGAGGTTCTGCAGAGATTTATGGACAGATTTTTTGAGCACAGAACCACAGAATTATAGAAGTTGGAATGGACATCTGGAAATCATCCAGTTGAACCCTCCGTTGAAGCAGGCTCCCTTCAGAAGGCTGCACAGGAAAGAGTCTGGGTAAATTCCGAATATTTCCAGAGAAGGAGACTCCACAACCTCTACAGACAACCTGTTCCAGTGCTCTCTCACCCTCGAAGTAACAGAGTTCTCCCTCACGTTCAGATGGAACTGCCCATGTTCCAATTTGTGATCACTTGACTCCCAACCATTAGATATTTATAAGCATTGATAACATTCCCCCTCAGCCTTGCCCAGGCTGAACAGTCCCAGGTCTCTCTGCCTTTCCTCATAGGGGAGATGTTCCGTGTTCCTCATCTTTGTGGCCCTCTGCTGGATTCTCTCTAGAAGTTCCACTTTGAACTCTCCAGCCTTGAGGTCTCACTGAACTGCAGTACAGCCTAATGGTGTGTCAGACTCTCCTTCCAGGATGCAGTCATGCAAAAAAAAAAAAACCACAACAACAACAAAAAGTGCTCCTCTGAGAGATAATTCTGGTCAAAGCTACTGCAAAGGGAGTATTTATTCTTTCACCTCCTGAAATACAACTCTAAATATGATATTACAGTATCAGAGAATAGAATAACCTATAAGACACATTTCCAAGGGCATCTGATGAGTCAGCAGTTGGAAAAACAAGGCAGAGAATAGACTACTGTATGTAAATGTGATTTAGAAGAATTAATCAGTCTCGGGAAAAAAAAACCAAAATCAAAACAAAACAAAACAAAACAAAACAAAACAAAAAAAAAAAAAAAAAAAAAAAACCACCATGAAATACATTTGCAGAGGCCACAGCAAAAGACAAGACATTGAGACAAGTCATTAAGGCTGTTGCTACTGAATAGCTTTGGAATTATGTGGCAAGCTCCTATCAGCAATTCAAATCAGAGTGTTTCTAACTGATGGCATACTGCATAAACACAAGAGAATACAAAAATGGGCAAGCTTCAAAGAACACAGAAATGCTACATTGATACAGAAATGTGCAAAAAGCAGAATCAGAAATCCTTTGTACTATGCATAAATGAAAGTGGAGATCAAGAAACTGGGAAATGCAGGATCTTGTCAAACAAAGTATCCCTGCTGTTATACCAAGAAATGCTGGAATGTGCTCTGTAGTTACATTTACACATCCTGAAATACAGGTAGAATTGCTTAATAGGTGATCAACCAGAAAACATAGTTTTTGAAAGGCATGCTGACTGCAGTTAAATCAGTTTGTGTAATAGAAGATGTGCTTTCTAAGTACCATAAGCAATGGTTTTGCTTGGGTAATTTCCTGCAGGGAGTAGGAGAGATAGAAAGACTGCAGTGCTGCTTCTCCAAGAGCTGACCAGTCAACACTGATCTGAGCAGAGCCAGAAAGAGACTTAGAAAAGCTGGCTCTACACTCTCCTCATATGCACTTGCAATAAGCTCATCTGTTTTATCTCCTGCATAAAAGCTCTGTTAAAGAACCTCTTGGTTAAAGAACTCAAACATTTGCAATGGTTGCCCAGGGACACAAAGTGATAGACCGTTTCTGCCACAATAGGCTTTTGCGGAACACCACTGTCACAATCATCTGTCTTACGATGGAGCGGGTGAACAAAAAACCCAACACCTTCTTTTCCAAATGTTTCAGGAGAAAAGGAGAGCTATTTTATAGAAAAGAGCACCCTTTATGATAATTGGTGTATGTCAATGCTCACAAGTACTTAACGAAAATTGGTACCCCTTTCAGATAAGACAGCATAAGAAAGCTTGATGAGGAAGAGAGTTACAGAAGGCCACTGTCCCTTTCCCACAGCATTCCTCCAACAGGCACAAATGCAAAGATTACATCTCTCAAAATCTTCACAGCCCCCTTGCTGATTTTCCTCCAAGGCAGGTTTCCATGTCACAGATCTGGCTTACCAGCAGAAAAAAAATCTCTTCCCTGATTCAACACTGTGACAAAACTGGGCAGTGAGAGGGCTCAGCTATCAAGCTGGGAGTCTGCCTTGCTTCCCTCTATCCCTTAGCTCCATGACTCAACTGCAGAGAGTTGAGTGAGGAGAATGCACAGAGAAGAGGTTAAAGTGTCATCTCTTAAGCACAGCAGCAGCAGTAAAATGAACTCATAAACAGCTTTTTAGTGGGGGCGGCCTTATTTTTATAGAAATATTATGGGTTACTTATCTTAGAGACTTCTATGAATTTCCTAGAGAGCTTAACTATCATCCTTTTCTACTATAGGATCATTCCCCAGTGTATGCTGCCACATAAGTTGTCCATCGCTTTCCTCCAAAAGTTACTCTGCGGCCTAAATTTCTTTTTCCCCGAAATCCTGAAATAAGAGTTCAATTTTTGCAAATCATCTCCATTGAGTGTTACTATCCTAGTAACACTCAACAACCAAGGTTGAGTATGCACACAATTTTTGGGGAAATTAGTCTTAAGCATCAGCAAATTTTGTAAGCACTTACACTTTTGTTTTACTTACATCCTGGCCAGGAGGCCCCTGTGGTCCAGGGATACCAGGTACACCACGAGGACCCTGGCACGGAGAGAACAGACAAATGCAGAAACATGAGCTGTACTGGCCAGATTATCCTTAGCTGAAGAGAAAAAAATACTGAACTCAATGATTATTTGGAAAAAAAAAACCCACCACCAACAACCCACCATGCTAACAGTTAAACACACTTTCAAAAGAGACTAGAATAAAATAATTCCACACTGAACTATCACAGCATCAGTTGTTTCTGTGCCTCGAGGAACTGTAAGTGTATCACTCCAGTCAAATCTCCCAAACCTCAACTGGAAAGGTAATAATGACTCTTTATAAGAAGGCAAGTATACGAACAGGGAGAAAATACAACTGATCAAGGGACTGTGGAAGAGAAAAGACAATTCAGTTTCTTGGTGTCAAACTAGTGCACACTATGACTGGGCTATACCACTGGAAATGCATGCCAGCATATAGTAAAACTACAATAAACAGCCATTTGTTTCATACTTATTGACTGCATCCTAGTAAATGATTAAAGGAAATACTTAAATGCAGGGTTTTCTGCAAGCCTTAAGCAAGAAAAATGCTTATAAGTATTTATATTATATATATTATATTATAAAGCATAATAACATGCCTTGAATTGTCTGCCATGACATACTTCTTCTTTCCATCTGTGGGAACTATTCTGAGGGGTGAGGAAAAGTTGTCACCAGAACAAGAGTCTGGATAACTCTTTTTCTCATAACCCACTACAGCAAACATGTAGTGGTAGTGCATATCTGAAGTCTCATTTGGCTAATCAGCCAACATATGACTCTCCCGACATGTGACTAAACCAAAAAATTAATCATGATTTTATGAAATCGCTAGTATATATATAGCATATATATAATGATAGTAACAAAATTCATTTGTTTGCCCCCTCCCCTTAAAATTTGGGTGTAGTGAGAAAGACATACTGTACCAATGATCCTTTGTCTCCTGGGGGTCCAACAGGGCCCTGCAAATAGAGAAGACTGAGCAATCAAAATACTAGCAGAGCTTAAAATTAGCATTCCATTTGATCGAACAGGTGGGTCCCTGAAGAATAGAGATAAGAAAAAAGAGAAAAGAAAGGGAAAGGAAAAGGAGCAAATCTGACAGGCTGCCCAGACAAAAATATGCAATACTCACAGTGGGATGTTCAGAGGGAAAATCAAAGGGAGAAACTGAGATGGATCATGGAGAAAAAGTGTGAGAAAAAAGGAGAAAAAGAGACTAAAGAGGACAGCTGTATGTTGACATGTCGCTTGTCAGACTGAGCCCTCCACATCATCATCACATTCTGCCCTATCTTATCATTAAATCCAATTTGTTACCCTCTTCCAAGTGGGTGAGCTGATGAATTTGAGTCTGTAGGCTCTTGGTGAGCCTCAAGTCAGACTAGCTGAATAGGAAAAGTGTGAGTGCCAACAACAGGGCTGAGTGGCTGTGAACATGTGCTTTTTCGTGATTACGTGAGTGTTGTTCAGATGTACATGGGTGTTGATCAAGGCATTTGTTTCCGAATTGACTTGTGTGGCAGCATGTCTATTTGTGTACACTGTACATGCCCACTGGCAATATGGGCTCAGCCTCGCTACTGGCTGAACCCAGGGATGCAGAACTGCAGCAGCCTTTCATGTTTTGGACTGGGACAGGAGAACCTCCCCATGGTCCTGAAAGACACTGTGTTCAACTTCCTCTAGAAGTAGGAAAAGCATCTCATGGGATCTGCGTGCTCTTTAAATGAGGTTAAAGGAAAGGATCCAGTGGACTTGCATACACTATTTCTTTGGGAATGCAGCTTACACAGGTGCATAGTGGAGTGAACAGACCAGAAGGTATCCACTCCTAAAGGCACACTAAAGAAGTGATGCAGTACCCATATCCAGCAGGAATGGATCAATCTGACATTCCAAACACATCCCAGACATGGTTTGACCTCACATCCCTAGGACTGTATTTGAATAAATTGTTTCACACTATGGCTCCTCTCCCTTTGCTTTCTATTTCAGGCATATTAACTCACTAATCCTCACAAAGTTCTCCATGCAAGATGCCTTACTGCTTTGCTAAAGCAAGGGCTAAATGCATCATGTTAAACTCATTGTAATATGAAGAAGGAAAGACAGATCACAAGTAATTCCCATCAAATTAGTGCATCACATATTTCTATCAGGGAACTTGAACATGAGCATGTGGATTCACCCCACTTCTCCATGCAGTCACTTCTGCTTTTAGTTCAGTTGGGAAAATTACACACTGCTAAAACTCACTTTATGGTTCAGTAGTAATACAATACTTTAGCAGACAAAGCAAAAGCAAATAACAACAACAAAACTCACCCTAATCTATCTAAACCTTTCACACAGGGAGCAAAACTCAAGAGAGATTAAGGGCACAGGAGGAAACAAGGTGAGGACTCCAATTAAAACAAATTGCTGACTCTTACCTCTGAAACTGAAAACATTATATACCCAATTTTGTCATATTACTAGAAAGTGTACAGGCTGACACATTTATTCAGTGTATAATATGCACTGAAGCATCTCCTCCGAGGATATTCTATTTTTTAGTGGGACTCAAGATGTGTGAAAGCCCGATGGATTAAATGTTATATAGCATTTCTCAAATTGTTCAAATTCTGAGTCTTTGAACTGGAGCGAGGTTAAAAAAAAAAAAAAATCAATCGGGAGTATTATGGTATGTACTGGCACCATCTATTCATTTTGATAGTGGTCAAACAGCAAAGACATAACACAAAGTAATCCTCTGGTGTGTGTCAGGTGATGGCTACAAGTGATAGAGTGAAGTTCTTAGTCATTGCATGAATATATGTGAAGAATAACTGTCATGGTTCTATGTTTTTGTTTTTGTTTTTTTGTTTTTGGATTTC